ACTTTAATCATTTGCTGTGTTCAACTTAACCTCCTACTTATTAGTTATTTTATAGTGATTTTTGGCTCAACGCATGCACAATAACTCGTTTTTCCATCAATTAAATGGGTGGTGGGGGGTTATGTTGGCATAGCTCGGTATACGATAAATACACACATAGCTCCATCCATTGTATATGATCTAAGATTTGGGTCTTGGGTATCAATGTGTTATCATATATAGATTAAATATGACATGGATTAATTAATAGAATTTTTGCCTCTCGACATATGGCTGCCAGACTTCATACGTTTTATGACACAGTCTTAAGTCGGCTATACCTATAGTTGTTTTATAAATCTACAGGAACGACGAAATACGACCACAAACGGAAACAATTAATATTATACTATTACTATGACAAAACGGAACGAGGGGAGTGGGCCGGACGTCCGGATAAGGCTGAACGGCACCGGACAAAACTTTGCGCAAAGTACGCGTGCGTTAACGGAACTAAAAACGGGAGAACGCGAACCACGATGAACTCGAGTGATGGAGTCAGCCGAATGGTGGTAACACAGCTGTGACCATGGTGGTAACTATGGTGGATCTCGTTTCACGTCCACGGAGCCCTGCCAGAAACAAATCCTGCTCGCCGAGGTTCACAGTGTTCACTTCCGAACGAATCGTCTCGACCTTATGAAACGTCGTTATATACGACATACACGAGTGTGAATTTAAGTGGCTTTATAGGCGGAATCAAGTTCTCGCTATCGCTAAGGTTATTACTTATTATTATTAATATAATAATACTATATAATCGTCTTAATCGGTTCGTTGCACCGCACTAGTATAATACCTATACTGTTTGGGATAATATATAATGGTGTAACACAATAATGACGGTATAATATTATTATAGAAAATTGTAAATAATAATATGTACAATTATTATCGTTTATTTTTTTTTCAAATTTTTGTTTATATGACGAGTTTGTTATTATATATTTTGATTTAATATTTATGGTGAAGCTACACGGCCATTCGTTGGGTCAGCTCCGTCATACAAGTGCGTAACATGGCAAGTTTACGTTCAGCAGAACACATTTTTAGCTTCGATAGTTTAAAAACTACAGTGAATCGACCTATTTTGAAACTTGACGGTAAGAAGTAATTAGATTATCTGCGTTCTCTAGTTTATTTTTTACGATAAATTAATTTTTAAGTGAATTATGAGCATTTTCAAATCTTAATATTTCACTGCATATACTCACGATTCACTTGAAAACTAATATATTATCGTGAAAACACAGATTCAAAGTCGTTCGGGTTCAGGGTTCAAAATCGGGGTAGACCCGCTGGACATGCCCCTGGGATCGAATGACACTAATTTGTTAACAAACGGAGCTAATCCACGTTATCTGCCGAGCTTACATATTTTGCCATGTTACGCACTTGTATAAGACGGAGTCATCTTAAGTCGAGTAACTATAAAACTGTATATAATAAAATATATTATTGTGCATAATAGGTATTTGCAATTTAAATTATCGAGGGCCATTATACCTATTTACATGGTTTAGCGCAATTTGTTGATCCATCAACCCTGAAAATGACCGATAGCTCTACAATACAACATACGACAGACCAGTCGCTTAAAAAGGTCATTCGTTTTAAGCTCATTATCGGTATAAATCCCCGCTGCATTTATTTATTGCTATTATAATATATTATGGTATAGTTGTAGTTGTATCGTGTAGACTATAGTGTACCCGGAATCCGGATGTCAACGAGAGTACCTATGTATAGTTGTAAGTATGCCGTATAAAAGGTGTCCTCCCGTAATAATAATCGTATTTTTACAATATCATCGTGTGATTTATTTTTCACATCCGCATCTGCAGCACTTTGGTCGCAGCACGTCATAAAATATATGAACCGTTTTCCTGGCGGATCTCATGACACTCCACTTACAGGTAATGTGTGTATTATATTTTTCTGAGTCGTCGACGAATAATGCGCCGCGTGTAATATAATATAATATAGTAATAATAATACGCGAGATACCGCGTAAATAATAATAATAATATTACGTCTCCGAGATCGCGTTCAAGGGCGCCCGGTCTCGATGTCCGGTGCAAAATATGATCGACAAAAATAAAATTGCGGCCCGTCTGCGATCAGCCGCCGCCCGATTTTAACGGCGTAGGTAATACGTAATAATATACATTTTTTTTTGTTGTTTTTTTTCTCATATACATATATTATTGTGCGCCGTTTGTTTTCCTCTCTTTCTCGAACCTGCTCGCTCGGGTTTTCTGTTTTCGGATCCTTCGCCAGTATAATATTATGCGATATTATGCAGATGGCCAAAAGTATATCATACCTACCGCGGACTACGCCCGAAACTTGAAAAAAAAAAAAATATTACGTTTTTTAAAAATATTTAATTAGGTATGCTATAATATAGCTGTCTAGCTGAATATCCCGGCTTCGCCCGTTTGTATTTTTTTTCTTGTGGCAAATCTGAAATCTTATAATATAACATAGTATATTAAACGCTGTATAGGTGTATCTCGGTTTGAGTGTATCTCAATTTTGGTGTAGGGCAGTGAACCTCGTTTAACGGACATATCGGCGTCGGTGTACATACACCTGTAATAGCTTTGTGAAATAATTCGACCTAGACGCGGGTAACCGCAATCGTCGCGGATTGGATTTAGCACTTGGTATATATTTTTTGGACCTGCAGGTTTAAACTACTTACTCTCTATACTTTTCTGACATCTCGAAAAACTGCAATCTGTGAGATTTTCGGCGAATTTGACCTAGTAGTTTTCGAGCATATATAAGCTAAATTTGTTTATAAGGAAATAATATTATAATGTATTTATTCGAGGTCATATATGAGCGTGACGATGCATATAGGCTTGTGCCTGATCTGCCTGAGTAGCCAATAGCAACCATTCATAAACATACGAAAAGTTTCAATTTCCCCTTGAATCTCAAGATCCCTGCTTTTCGACCGCACCTCTGTAAAATGCGTACACCGAAAAATCTATTCTTATTGTGCATCTATATTATAGAACATAAGAAGGACCACTATTGAACAATTCAGAAAAGAACGTTTCGTAGATTTTTGAGATTTAGTGACGAGTGAATGAGTGGTATTTGGATTTTTTACATAAAGATTGACATGACGTTATCGCGCGATTTGTGGCACTTATAGATATCTACGTTTTATGTGTTTTTCGTGACCTGACTGCTCGACGATTAGTGTATCAACTATCAATACTACAGTCTACAACACACAACAATAATATTATTATGTTTATGCATAGTATAATAATAATTTTTATATTATTGTGTATTATTCATTGACTATTTATAATCTCGATTATCCCGAGATCGGTCACCGCTTTATACAATATATACATTGTCGTAAGTACTTTCATATTTATTCCACTTGGAGTCTGTCCAAGACGGGCAATACGTAATATTATTATTATTTTATTGTAATATAATAATATTATTGTTTTTGATAAACAAAAAAACCGGATCCCATCTTTGTAATAGTACCTATATATAACTATGTACAATAATTGAATAATATGCATTTCGCGTACACGGCCATTGAGATGTTTACCGTTTACTAATTTCGTGTGCTTAAATAACAACGACGAGAAAGAAACGAAAAAAAAAAACTAGAGGGACGCAGATTATAATCTATTTTTATATCTAAGAATTTTTTGAAATCTTCTCGAGTTATAAATGGTCTATTTTTAACTCAAGTTATGGTATAGTAGTCATGGTACATTTTTTTGAACTCTCTTTTATATATATATATAGATTATACATATTTTATGTTCATGACTTTTTATTTTTCATAAACTGAGTGGCCGGAGCAAGGATACCCACTCACCTCACCACCATAGATCCAGCACTTCCTATATTATAATAACGATCGTCGTTTTTAATTTAACAAAATATAAAAACAGTATAGTTAACGGGCATTCGTCATTACACATTTTTAATCATAATTTGAATTTAATTTAAACACACACACATGGATATATCTGTATGTTATGACGTGTGTATAATCAATATTTTTTAAAAATAGATACAAATAAAGAAACATATAATTACGACGTGGAATTAATATTATAATAATATGGTTTCGTCGAATGCTTGTTGGTATATTTTTTTATATTATACATTGATATGAATAGTCAATAGATACCTAAAAACTTTGAATAAATAAGAAAACTGCGTAGTCTATAATATAATATTTTAATACATGTTTTTATTGTATTGTTGTAATATAGGTATCGATAATCATCGTTGTCAAAACAATTATAATATTATCGTGTATACGTTATGGTAATTTCGGTGATCTGGAACTACTCATGTGTTGTGAGAGACGAGAAAAAAATATAAATACGAATAAAGATCAAAAAAAAAAATGAAGTCTTCAGGGTACCCGGTATTAATTGGTATCTGTCGTCAAACGCTGCCTGCAGAAATTCCAGCACGGATAGGATAAACACGCGCGTTGCAATATATAATATTAACATTATGTACGATGGGAGGAAATGCGATTTGTCCGAATTATTATTATTATTATTAAACATTGTCTAAAATGTCATTATAATAATAATATAATAGCTAACCGGATACACTCGGTACTCGACGAATGACGTGTGACGTATTACACGCGTCTCGTGTGTACAGGTGTAAATTAATTTTATGCAAATCTTAAAACAATAACAATAATAAAAATAATAATAATAATAATAATAATAATAATAATACTAGTAGTAGTAGTAATGACAATGAAAGAACGTCGAGAAAACATTTGAAAAAAATAATAATGTATACACAGTATAGAACAATAAATTTAAAAACGATAATTATAAATTATGCATGTATCGATGATATTGTACCTACGTCGTATGTATCGGCGTTTACAATAATAATATTATTATGTCTTACGACCAGTACGACGCTCGGTGTTTGTTCGTTCATCTGAGCCTGTTATCGTATCGATAGTCCAATGGCACCGAATTGTTGGCAGTGAATAAGTATGGGCTGCGGGCCGTTGGACAGACGAAATCCTTCATGATGAAGTCCATCGTCGTCTCCGATTTCGTGCCGACGGGTTGCAGCATGTTGTTCCACAACAAATTGGCAGCTGAAATTCGAAGGAACGATTAATATGATATGATTACGAGACTTGAATGGTCGGACTCGCAGTTGTCGTAATGCACGCCACCCAACATCGTGTAATCGTTATTATAGTTATTATCTAAGTTAAATGTTTTTAGATTCTGAGCGGAGCCAAGGAATGTATTGGTTTTACAATGATGTGTGTGTGTTTTTTCTTCTGTCTGTCAGCAACATTTCGGATAGTAAGCATGCTTCGATTTTTGAGATCAGCATCTTTTCTGATAGAAAAGTGAACCTAGTTGGTACTTTTAGAAGGTCAAAATTGAAAATTCCAAGTAGTTTTGGAAAGCGTCGAGAAAAACTACCGACAAATTACGAAAACCCGCTAAAAATGGGATTTAAATTTCTATAACGATTTGTTTATCACCATAGCAACGAATAAAAAATAAAAATATTAATTATAAGAACTAGGTACGCTAACCGCTCAGAATCGATTTTCGTATACAATGGCTTATCATTGTATACAAATATAACACATCCATTACAACTACTGTACAGCAGAGCCGTACCCACTCATCCACCTTTTTTTTTTATAATTTTAAGTTTCATGAAGTTTAAGGCTTGTTGGTTTTTATAGTTATTCAACTTTCCTGTTACCCATAGGTAGCACTGGGCTTGAATTTTTTTTTGGGGTGGGGGGGGGGCAAAAATTACTCAAAATGTTCTGACCCATTTTAATCGACAAGTTTACCCTTACATTTTTTTCTGGGGGGTAACTGCACCCCCATGACCCACCCCAAATAACACATACACTGTTATTTGTACACTATATTTCATAATAAAAAAAAACTCACATAGAGTCAATTCCTATGCATATTAAATATAATATAATATATACGTTTCGTCACGTTCAGCACAATATGAAAACTTCAACAATACTGAAATTATGATTTCCCCATATTATACAAATATTTTTTTGACATAATATGTAATAAGTAACTAAATTTATATTTATATGGCTATCATTGGTTAAAGAAAATATTATGATTGGATATAAATTATTGATCTACCGGAAATTTAACAAGTTAATGATCTTAAAAAAAGATAAATATTATATACTATTTTTATTTTTAGCAAGAATATTATTTTGGGTTGAATACATGTTTTTTTTTTCTGACCGATTTTTGTATGGTTTTCGTTGAAAGTAATGTTAAAAAATGTTTCATTTGGTCATTTTTTAAGGAGTACGAAGTAGGCAAATTATGTGGCAGGTACATCCGGTTCATGTCAATATGTGTGAGAGTAAATTAACATTAATTTAGTGTGTACACTAGTAAAATTTCATTTTTGCTCACGAAAATCGTTTTGTTTCAGTTGGTCACAGAAATAAAAGATACTTTAATCTACCTAATTTATATTATATACATAAATTAATAAATGTATGTTTGTATCTTATATACTCAAAAATGACATGATAAATTTTTACAACATTTTCAGAGATTGGTGTAAGAAATTTAAGACAAATTTAGAGAGTAGATAGTTAAACCATATTCAAGTGTTATATGCCTATATTTTCAATCCACCACAAGTGGATTGTGCTAATCTAGGTAGAATTAGTTCACACAGAGAGTAAGCTAGTTAGCTAGTAATAAATTATAAACAAAAATAATTATCAAACAATTTTGTAAGTAGACTTGACGACAAATACAAATCTTTTTTTAGAATTCTTATCGCTTCATTAGATCAATATTGATATGTTTGGCAAAGAACCCGTCTAATATCCTATGTCAAGCGTGTGTTAGACAAAAACAGAAAATAATGGTATCGAATCCCCTTAAATGAATATTTGTGACCCATTTGTTTTTTATTTTTTAAGTTTAAATATTAGTTTTATATGTGTAAAAATGGACTAATATTCAATGATTGAGTATAATCATCGTAATTATTATTATTATGTCGATTTCATCTTCTTTGAATAATAGGATTTAATATATTTAAATTCTACCTTATATTTATTTTATTGAATAAGATTGTATTATTGTGATACAATTCTGAAGCTAAATTGCAGGTTCGTGACCCACCGGTCGAAAACCACACAACATTGTAAATGTATAATAATATAATGTACATAATATTATTCTGCTCAAGACAAAAACATTGGACTTGTGCATTTTCGACGGACGCTCCGTTGTACCTACCTAAGGCGTGTCCCTTTTGACTGAAATGGAAACAATCGTAAGTGACGTACGATATGTCTATGACCTCTTCGAATTGCCGCTTCTTGTCCAGCGGCGCGTTGAAAAGTTTGATGAACGGTTGGATGACCACGGTGAAGTCTTCTCTTTTGTTGTATCGACCACTGTTGATCTACGAAAAATCAAAAACGAAATTCAAATATCCCGGATGTCAGAAAATGAAAAAAACGACACATATAATCGGTTTTCCAAGTATAGATTTCAACACTGATGAAACTAACCAAAATCTGTTCGGCAGTCTGATAATCTCGGACCATTTGGGTGATCTGATCCATTTCGTTTCCCTTTTGGTGGAAACAGGTACAGAAGAACCTGTGTAGCATATGGCACATGAACGACCTCTTCACGCGTACACTGACTGACACGTCTACACGGACAAACAAGAAAATAAATTATTACTTTATTTTATTATTATTATTATTATTATTATTAAAACATTAATATTCGAAAACGAAACGTCGCTTGCTAATAATATTATATTACTGCTAATATACAATGTATTATAATATTATAACGCTATAAACGCTACATCATGCGTGGTCGTGTGAGTCTGAACGCATAATATGCATTTGTATAAGTGATGGACATTATTATTCGAATGGTGATAAATATTAATTTACGATTTATAGGAGTTTATTATTATGTAATAGTCTCATACGAAAAAGTTTCATCCGTTGAAAGCAGTAGGTAGGTAGGTAGTTTATAATACGTACCTCCAAGAAAACCCATAATACTACATCATTCGACGTCTTATACAAGTTTGAGTCTTAAAAGGAAGAGGATCAAAAATGATATTGTTGTAAAATAATACATTATATTAATAATATCGGTCGTAACTATAATAATAATAATACCGCGTGTCCAGTGTGCGGCGCTTCAATTAGAAATCATTAAGTGCGAGAATATAATATAATATAATTACGTTCTTGCTAGTAGATAATATAACAGTATACCGTTATACACTAGGTATACGAATTATGTAATAATACCATATATATAACTCCATAGGAATAATCAGAAGTATAACTATAGGGCCTTGCATTGTGGAGGTACATATTATTAGGAGACAGCACGTTTTAGGTGAAAATGTCAAATTAGTTCAAACGAAATTAGTATTAAGTGGATATTATAATACTATAAAATTTAAAAAGTAAAATACAAAATATTTATATAGTATTAGTGAATATTATTAAATATTTTATCGGGAAAACATAATAATAATAATGATGATGGTCAAATGTGGGCAAGTTAATGAAAATAATTAACTGTGGCAAGTTGAGTTAATTCAATTAAATTTCCTTCAGTTAAGTTCAAGGTTAACAAAAAAAAAAAAATTAACTAGATAAGTTTAAAGTTAAGATAGAAAATAAAATTAACTTATCTCAGTTAAAAAAAAAGTTAATTTTTTTCAAGGTACAATATTTTTAAGTCATAAACTGCCAAAGTATTTTGTTATATACAAACGTTTACCAAAACATTGAGCAATGTGTAAAAAATTTGATTATTATCCTACTAATATTATAAACGCGAAAGTTTGTTTCTTTGTTACTCTTTCAGGTATAAATTCCTGAATGGATTTTAATGAAACTTTACAATAATATAGCTTATACATCAGAATAACATATAGGCTACAAATCATCCAACTAGGTCCAACCAGGGGATGTGCTCAAATGGGGATTTAGAGATTTAAGGTGTAAATTGTTGTTTATAAATGGTTGCCATGGGTTTTAAAATTATTATAATAAATAATTATTGGTTGCCTTGAAATCAATGTATTCATCCAATGCATTTAATTTTTTTGCACGCCGTGTTTTGATATTATAATATGTATCACAATAAATTACGTAAATATTGAGCTTATTATACTCACATATAAGTTACGTACATAAAACAATTACGATGCAACGTATTCATGGACGAGGAGGAAATATTGGTCGACAGACTCGACATTCACAATTAGTCCAACCGTTTAGGGGGAGTTCAGTAACATACTTGGGATAACTTTGATACTTTTGAGTTAAATTATAAAGTTACGTACAAACAGCAAGGGGGCCGTGATCTACCGCAGGTAGATTGCCTACCTGATAATATACTGCTGTGAATCAGAATTTTTATTCCAGACAACAGAAGAGTCAAGATAAATTTTGAACACCATACACCAAATATTAAATGACGAATTGAACAAAGTTTGAGTCATATAGAGTTGGTACATTTAACGGGCAACGAAGTGCACGGGATCAGCTAGTAATATATAATTCGAAAATAAATGACCATAATCGAAAAAGAGTCGACGAATCAGTATTGTCTAGTTGATTACGCATGGCTCGAAAATAAAATTAACTTAACTGCACGACAATGATAAATTATAATTAACTATAAAAAGTTTAGTTACAACATTAAACATTTTAACTGAATAAGTTAATAGGTTAAAAACAAAAATAATCAACTAGTTAAGTTAAAAAGTTAAAAAAAATTAATTTTTTAACTTGACTAACTTTTTAACCACCTTTGATGATGGTATAGGTATACTACCAATATCCAAGTAGGAAAATTAATATTCTTGGAAATTCTACTAAACGTACTTAAGTATAATATAATAATCAAATAAAACACCGTAAACTGAAAATAACTTCTAGGATATAAATATAAAAGTTCGTTGTCATAGAAACGCGGGTTCTTAAAAATTCTAAACAGGTCTGGTCCTGCAATTAACGCTATAGTTCAGCGGTTCTCGACCTTTTTAAGTACCTACCACCTACACAGTTTAAAAATTTTCATGTACCACTTGACCAAATACGTTTATTATCAACTAAACCAAATAATATTATTTAATGTGAATATAATAATCGATTCCATTTTTTTTTATAAAGATAGATTTATTTAGCGTAACACTGATGAGCTTTACTCTACCCACAGGTTGAGAGACGCTGCTATAGTCTATATAGCTAGTTGTCTAAATAATATTTTCTAATCATCGATGACAAGTTGAAATATTTTCGTTCATTTATTAATATTAATTACGACATTGTGAAACGTTACGTTTTAGCCGTTCGAATAACATTATATGTGGTGTAAGTATTCCCATCATTAACCCGTGTACACACGCATTGCAGTGCCTACGTTAAACAATGACAACATAATACATATTATTATATTGTATTATATTATTATACATTATAATATACGCGACACGTATATGACACGACGACGTTCGCATTGACAGTGCGAACTCGAAATGGCTTTCACTTTCGTTTCCGACACAAGCTCTTTTGGAAGTTCATTTCGTATGCGCAACGTGTTTCGAGGAGACTATATATAAATATACACTGCACTTATGATATATATACCACGCCACCTCCGTCCGACGAGGTAACGTCAACCGCGTTATAAACGAGACGACGTCCCACTTTCCACGCCGACGCCGCGACGAAAACGGACAGACGGGTGTCAAAATAAATAATAATTTATTATTTAGACGTCTGAAAACCGCGAAGACGAGAGAAAAAATGACGAGTAATAGTGGACTACATTATCGTGTCGGACTGTGCGCCGGTGATGTACGCAGATCGCCCCGCCGTCAAAGAATATAACGGTAAAGCATAATATAGACATATCAATAAAATGTGCACTGATGGCAGAAAGAGAGGTTAAAACATTGATAGATAACGTACAACTCGAGACGGAAATAAAAGAACAAATCACATATCATGGAGTAAAAAACATTGTAATACGTTCAAGATTTTCAAGGAAGAAATTAGAGTTCTCGAGCGTTACACATGCAATATACAAGCGATACGTACCGGGCCCGTATCGGACTCAGACTTCGATACGATTCGGCACGTCGTAACTATTCCATTTCGATATATATCGAATTTTTCTTCTTGAAAATCTTCATTATAACAATATTGTTTTAAAAAATTTTCCACCTCCAAAATGTGTTGCTTATCATTCCATGATATCTCATATTTTTCTGTTATGATTTTCTTAAACTATACTCTATCTCTTTCATATACATATGACGTATAATATCATTGATCTCTTTCTAACAATGTTGGTCTCACGGTGACATAGGCGGGGTGTGTGGGAGGCACAGTCCATTTTTTAATATGTCTATGCGGTAATATTTGCGATCTGCTGCAGAGACGACGACGAACAATGGGAATATTTGAAACTCGAACTTGGCTTGATCGACTTGTCGGGGTCATACCTATTATATATTACGGACAACTTTTATAATAATATTATTACACTTTTGGACTTGGCCTCCGCTGCCGCAGACGTGCAGAGTCGAGATAAGGATTAGATGCCAACCAAATACTATTATTATATAGGTACCTACGCTCGTTATACGCTCTGCTAACAGGTTGCAATATATTTTATATTGATTTTATTTAAAATACCTCTTATTATATTATAGTCTGTCGCGCTTACCTACCTATAGTTGAGTGACGATCGATTCTAACGACACACGATGTACCGATGTACGAGTTCTATATAATACACAGCACAAAATATAATATACCGATGTCATATTATCGTAATTTTTGTTGTTGTTACCAGGGAGAGAGAGAGATAGAGATTCGAACACGACTTTTGAAAACGGCGGCATTCGACCGTGTCATAACTACGTGTACTTACGATATTCTTATACGTCATATTATGGCCACGATAAGGCTAACGGTATATTACTTATTATAATGCTATGACCGTTTCAGCTTGACGTCGTCATAAGATTCCGGAAGATCTACAAGATTGCTTCCGAGTGAAACCATCGGAAGACAGACGCTTATTTTTCCGTTATGACTGCGGCTGCAGCGGGTACGGCGATTTGAAAAGAATGAGACGTAATAAAACACTGCAAAAGTCGCTGGCGGATATCTGAAGACGACTTACGACACTCCGACGGTAGGTACGTTCGTCAAGTCGAGAGATATTATAATATAATGTTCATAGGCGTGCGCAAACCTCTGAGTCAGGTACGGCTAAATTCAATCTGATCACCCACCCCCTTGTCTTGGTCACACACTCACACAAGAAAAAAATTATAGACATTTTCACTACACTACAAACTTTTAAGTGACTCTTTTGTTGGTTACTGGAAAATGTAAACAATCATTTTTCATTATTTGATATTTCACACACACAAAATTCATCAATATTTAATTAAATTTTAACCAAATATAATCTAATAAAACAATTTATTCAAAAACGTTCAAAGTATAATATATAAATATAATATAATATTAAAATTATTTGTCAATTAACATTAATAGGTATTTATTTATTATTATTAATTATTCATGGTAAATCGACTTTAGGGCTATTAGTTTATGAGATATAAATATTAAAATTTAGATGAGCGGAGTAGTGGACATACATTTTGCAGGATAACCCAGTACCACTTAATTTTAAATACTTATAACGCATAGACTACTCACGTCTTACACTAAATTCGATTTTTATGTATCGAAATACTTATACTAAAAATATTCTACTTTGGAATATGAAATTTAAACTCTATGTCGTCAAAAAAAAATTAAAATAGTAATAATAACAAAGTTGTTTTGTAAGCGACTCGAAACTATGTAAAAAATATTTTCAAAAACAATTACACAAATAATGAGTGTTCAATTTTAAATAAATCGCCCAGTCGTATAGTCTCTCGGGTAAACACAAACGTTAACGAAACTATAAAATTGCTATACCTACGTTTCGTCATGTCTTCATAAGGTACCAACCCACCCACGTATAGAAAAATCTCAGGTAGGGCTAAAGCCCAATCAGCCCTACCCGTGCGCACGCCTATGATAATATTATTAATTCATAGATTCTTAGAAAAAGGTTATAAAACGGTGACGGACATATTAAACCACGGTCAACGTCAAAATCGATAGCCATCGATAGCGGTCGAGTTGATAATGATATAGGTACATTATTAAATTAAATTATAAGATACCCCGTGGGCCCGAAGCGTATATTATGACGCAATCGTGTGACGACGCCCGCGGTGAATGAATATACGAACCGCGGTAACGATGATGGTGCATTTTTTCATCCATATGCATTCCGCGGGGTCTGAGAGTCGTGAAAGTGAATTGGCGCGGCTCTCATTCATAACAAGCGTATAGTAATAAGACATAATATACCTACTTGTATGTAGGTACGATCGCCGCTCGACTTAACCGGGTTTACGGTATAATATGTGTCGCGAGCGTGCGGTGGTAACCCCTCCCGCAACCGGGACGACCACATATTATATATCATCGGTTACCCTCTCGGCGCTTTAACCTTGCTGCTAAAGTATACGTATACCTATCGTATGCTTGGCAGAGCCGGTGCAGTGTGAGCGCCAGTTTCACTTCCTACCTGCAGTAGGTATATATTATATTTTAATCGAGACCGACGCTGTGACAACATTTTTCAAACTAGGTCAAGTTGGAAAAAAAACGTTTTGATTCTTAAATACGAGCAGAGACTACAACACTATTGCTGCGTTGTCTATATGCACTCACTACTTAGCGACTGCAGCGGCGGACTTCCGGGCGAGGACGGAATTCGGCACAGGGTGAAGTCGACGCGTATAGGTACACCGGAATTTAGAACATTTAAAAAAATAAATACCCTACCTATAGTAGATATTTGATTCAAAATCGACACTTCTAGACGCCTTAAAACAACAGAACCGTTAACCAGCAACCACGGTAATAGTGCAGTTACCAGTTACCACGCACGCTATACCGCATATAAACCTGCAGCGTACACGACGCAACATAATATTATATCGTACAGCCGCAGTATTGGGTAGTATTGCGAATACTATTTAAAAGTACTTTATTTACATTTATATTGTTTTCCTCGATTTTTGGATATTTTTTTACAATATTATACACATTTCAAGTCGAGTATCAACAACTTAAATTATATTATATTTAGAATTATTAAATTATATAATAATATGTTGGCACTTAAGGAAGCATTTCCCTTCTATTTTTATGAAGTATTCGAATACCTTTTATTTTCCAAATACCATTTAAAAGTATTTTACTCTAGTCTGGGGGGTATGAGAATATCGTAAGTATACACACCTAGGACGGGCACGAGGTTCACGAACGTCCTGGGAAGATTGGTCTGGAGGTAGTCTAACGCTTTTTGCAGTTTCTTGCTGTGCTGTAACGGAGTCGTGCCATCTTTGTCGTAACACTGTCCCGAACACAAGTCGTTGGCGCCGAAAAACATGGTAATCAGCTGTACACAAGGAAAGCATATGACGTTATTAATCACACAAAACGACATAATAATAATAATAATAATAACATCAGAAATAATTAATATAAGTCTCTATACAATATAGAGATTCGTTAATCACAGCTGAGCTGAATTGTTGATGTACAACTAACGCGTTAATTATGATTTATGACGTATTATATTAATATTGTTAGGTCCGGCACTCAAAATGGAAAACCACTGATTTAAATAAGGTGTGTCACAAGTATTATTACGCTAATTACTACCATTGAGCTGCAATAGAGTCGTGGTGAGTGGTGACCGCTGGTTTTCCAAATTAAGTATAGGTAGTCGTGGTAGTCAATTACTCAATTTTGTTTTGAGTACGGCGTGCTGGGCCTGTTTGTTTATATCATAAAATATGCATATATCGCATATACGTATTACCTTCCAGTCGTTTTTGAAATCCACGTCCGGGTCTTTTTTCATCTTCTTCACCAAGAACTGTGCCTGCCTATACGCGTCGAAGTCGGCCGACACTGGGAAAGCGACGTTCATGTGAGAGTTGGGCGCGAGAAATTCGCCTTTTCCCACGGAATAGCCCTTCAGCCCGGGGTTGAACTCCTTGAGAATGTTGGGCAGCGTCAGGTAGTTCCGCCAAGTAGCTTCACCGCCTGCGGGTTGGATTATTAGTAATTTGATTTATTAGGTACACACAAACGAAACAAGGTATCTACAGGTGTTAAACACGAACATAATATCATTATTATTATTATTATGATCGACTACCAAATCCTGGTCTACTTGTATCAGACACGATAATACGATATATTATTATTATTATAAGGACATTTAGAAATGAAAATACGTATTGTACTCGTAATTTTAAATGTTATATAATACGCTTACTCATATACATATTATAATAAGATATTTACACTTATATAGGGCCGATGATGAAATATCTATAGTACGTATTCATCATACCGGATGTCGGGCACTACTGCAGGATATCATTACGTAACGGAAACACAACGAATGTTGAGCAATTAATCCACAACAAAATTAAAAATAAATTATTCTCAACATAAAGCACCTAACTCGAGTAGGTATTGCTCTCGAGATCTCGATCTTTATAAGAATATAATATCGAGTTTAATAGTATATAAGATATTAAGATCTAGATAGGTACTCTTTCTGGATACAGACCTAACGATTTGAGATTTTACATTTTGGATCCCGTAAGTTCTACCGAGAAAGAGTAAACTTACATTTTTTAATGAACTCGCACGTCTAAACCAGTATTAAAATTCGAACAATAAAATTTTACAATGGGAGTTTGATCGACGATCGCCTGCAGTGAGCATATACAAGATGATCTGCGGTGTAGACGAATAATATTAAGACATGGAAAAAACAGCTCTTTATCGCATTCGCACACACTCACAGTGGTTAGCCCACCATGTTTGCATAATATAGTATTTTTATATCGATATAGAAATAATTGTAGACAGGGTGATTTTTTAAGCATGTCAGTTATCTTAAGATTAAATTATACATATTTTATTAGGCTAACTTTTACATAATTTTAGTATAATTTTCATATTATACCTTATACAGTATCTAAGAACTATAATGAATCGCTAAGCAGATCATTTAATTAATTAACTGATTAGAACACGGCCTAATTGAATAATTACAGTGGAAAGCATCGAATAAACAAGTAATTCAAGCATATAAGAACTACACGGTCATGCTTAAAAAGGTGGGCAAGTGGGTGTCGCTCTGCTGTACAGTAGGTTACAAGTGGGTCACTGTATAATGGATGATATTAAATTTGAATTCAACGATATAATATCATTGTATAAGAAAAACGATTCTGAGCGGAGACGGTATGTCAGTCTATGTTTAAGACATATTATATACATATCTATGGTATTAAACAAAAAATTGACCTATAATAGGTACCTATAATAAATTCCAAATTAATCATATCACAATGTCCATTAGGTACTTATAACGCGTTATACATCAACAAAACCGTGATACTATCATAGATATATAATAGTACACTTTAGAAGTTTCAAGTACCCACGAATAATATTATTCAATCACAACAAAATAACTAAAATAGTTATTCTAGGTTTTTTAATATGTAATTTCGTCCAAATTTGAATTTAAAATGTCTGTAAAAAATAACTGTGTTCATATATTTTTTAGATTTTTTGGTTACAGTATGAACTATTTATGAGAACCTTTGTTTTAAATTTGCAATCCTTAGCTATAAAAACTGAACATTTTATAATTTATTAATTTCAATGATTGATAATTTTCGAGATTTTGATAAATTTTGTCAAAATTTGATCTTTAAATGCTTATAAAAAAAAACTGTGCCTATGTATTTTTAATATTTTTCAACTGCTATTGTAACAGTATATCAGGAGCCTTGTATTAAATTTTTACACTTTTTGGCCCAACAGATAAAATTTTATTGATATTTATAGAAAAAAAAACTAAAAAAAATTGAAAGCTGTAAATGTCCATAAACAGCTCAAAAAGAGTCAAAATATTTTCAAAATTGTATGGTGTATAGAAAATGCTAATTTAAACATTCAGTGAAATTTTCATGTATCTACAGTTATTTGTTTTTGAATTACAACAAACTAAGGAAATCGCTACATGGGAAATCGAGTGAATATTCAATGTTGTAAAAATTTGAATTTCAAACGCTCATAAAAATTTAATTTGACTTTCTTATAGACATTTTTTTTTTTGATAAAGGTAGATAATCTTATAAGGAATCTTGTGTTAAATTTTCAAATCTTAGATTTAAAAAGAAAAATTTTTACGAATTCTTAACTCAAAATAATTTGCTAATTTTCGTGATTTTTCCATATTTTGTCAATTTTTGAACTTTAAGTGCTTATAAAAAAAATTGTGACTAAGGATTTTTAATATTTTTCATCTGCCTTTGAAACAACATATTAGGAGCCTTCTATTAAATTTTCAAGCTTTCGCAACCAACAAATAAAATTTTATTGATATTTCTAGAAAAAAAACTAAAAAAAAATGAAAAATGAAAATGTCCCTAAACAGTTCAAAATAAATCAAAATATTTTGAAAATTTTATCGTGTATAGAAAATGCAAATATAAACAACCAGTGAAAATTTCATGTATATACGTTAATTTGTTTTAGAGTTACACCAAAAACCAAAATCGATTTTTTGGAAAACCAATTTTGCGTAAAAATTCCCGTTTTTCCTTAATTTTTATGTTGTTTTTCCCGGCGCTTGTTTTTCCCGAAACTACTGGGAAATTTATACTTTTGACCCCCCAAAGTACCAACTAGATTCACTTTCCTATCAGAAAAGCTACTGATGAAGAAAATCCAAGCACTTTTACTGTCCTAAAACGTGATGACAGACACAAAAATAAAAAAAAAATAAAAAAAAAAATAAAAAAAAAAACACACATCATTGTAAAATCAATACATTCATCGTTTCACTCAGAATCTAAAAATCACTATATAATATATGTAATATTAAATTGTATAGGTACACTATATTATATAGGTATTTATAAACAAATTTGAAATTATAATATGAAATTTGTATAGTTTATGATACGTTGATATTATAATATAATATCCAGGTGTGATCGCTAATGTGTGCTACGGTCAAGCCTCTTCCGTGGCGTCGCTAGCACCTGGATAGGTGACCACTCGGGTTTTTATCGACACCCTACATAATAATATACTCACCAGCAGTTGCATAGAACCAACCGTAACCCCCTGAGGAAAAGCTAAATGGTCATATAGTTGTCGACGAGTCGAAAACTAATAAAAATATATATTCGTTGTATTTAAAGCGGATCTACGCCGTACCTGCCGCCCAAGACACTCCTCGGTACTCGATCAACGTTCCCATGGCGAACTCCTCGAGAGCGCCGTTTCCGGCCACCAGACTGTCACCCATGGCTCCCACCACGTCAATGTCGCCGGGCCGGAGCCTGTGCACGCTGGTCGGCCGCACTGTACTCCTGCCGAGTCCCGGAGACGTCATGTTCTTGCACGGGAACGGCATCGATCCCGGAAACGACGGCTGTCTCCTGATTCCCGTGGGCCCAGGTGTCATGACGATGTCTTCGCTCACGGCCGGCGTCTGCAAAGGGTAAATGGAAATCATTAATCGACAGCGACATTTAAGGCGTGAGGGAGTAGTCGATCAAAAAATAAACACGTCATGTTTATAGTCAAGAGCGGGTGTAAAAATCTTAAAATTTAGGGGCTAGATGAAAAAAATTATTTCAAGTTTAGGTACATAAAAACAAAGGCGTGAAGTTTCAGTTTTTATAGTGAATAAAACATTCATCATATATATATATATATATACATACTAAATAATAATAATAACAAACTTTAATAACAAAATTACCTTTTATTGCATATAGGTATAGGTATATATATTATTATAATATATTTACCTAGTCAAGTAAGACTCCTAACATTAATAGCAGACGTGTCCAGTACATGCTATCTTAGTCCGTGATAATATTAAGGTTTTGTCTAGGTACCCGCGGTTGTCCGTGTACATATAGCGTACACAGACTCATCTGCCTAGCCGATAAGAAAAAACAAAATATAACTAATCCAAATGTACAGACTATCGCTGGTATTTTGACTATACTTTACGGATATATAAATATATTATTACTATCTAACCTGCCGTGATATACGAGGGGCATTTTATATAAGGCCCGGGCATTGTAGAAAAAGCCCAAACTGTATACTTTACCCGTAACATATATTATATTATTCAGCAGTACCCGGCCAGAGCCCCAACAGTGACGCTAACATGAAAAAAAATCATAAATTATTTACAGTGATGCCCGCGTGACTACTCGCTCAGTGCGCTGAGCTCGGACAAAAAAAACGAAAATATTCCCTGACTTGTTGTGCAACACCACCTCAAGTTGGTCACAAGGTAACCGCCGTATAAAGCACTCTTACAATTAATTTCACTTATCACTCACGGGAAACCGGGTATATAGACACAGGGTAATATTAACCGTGGATACTACCGGCATGTAACTGATTTTTAGTGGAAGATATTATAAAATAGTTCTGAAATCATGGAAAAAAATAAAGACGGACTCAAATTGTTGGGGCTTCCGTAGGTGCGACGCTTTTCGCATTAGACTCCACACACACAATAAACGTTCCATGTATTCGGTTCAGTGGTGTGTGCGTATACGATATAAATCAATATAGCATGTAATATAATGTTAAATTCTGATAGTATTATTATTATGCGTACCATTCGGACATTCCTGCCATTGTTTCTGTTGGGCAAAAGCTGCTGGAAGGTCAGCCTTTGGGCGGTGCACCACGCGACCGCGCAGAAATATATCAAGACGTTGCTATTGGTAAACATCGCTTTGCTTGATGGCGTCTTTCATCGTGGGTCACTTTTCTCGTAAGTCCATTTTCGGAGAAAACTGTGACAAAATAAAAGAAAACCTATTTAAAACAACAACCACATAATATACAGGTAAGAAGCGTAAGTGATATTAAACCGTTTGTACATCGTACATGATTGTAAACGCGTTTGACCTTATTATAATATAATATAGCCAGGCCCTGATTTACGCAAGTGCAGATGGAGCACTTGCACTTGGCCCCCAATTTTTGGGGGCCCCCGATCTCCGTGAATTGTAGAAAATTTTCTGTATTAAAATTTTTTTTTAAATTAATTATTTTTAATAAATTATAATTCCCATAGACCTTATACTAGTATAAGTTATTCTTCACCTCAATACGTCATATTAAAATAATAATAATAGAAAATTGTTCGAACATCGGAAATATTTGATACATAATAACTATTTATAGATTTCTTCCAGTCCAGTATTTACTGATTAACCGGTCGTTGGTGACGCATTTCGCACCCACAATTACCATTTTTAGAACTATTGGTTTAGGTTATTCAGTTATCCACGGAAATGAATATCGCAAAACAAATGTTATAAATAAACTAATATATATAAAAAAAAATTTGAATCAGTTATCGAAACTTTTGCAGAGAAAAAAGCAAGAAAGAAATCTTTTTAAACTTTTTTTGTGATAAAATGTTATAGCTAAATAAAAATATAAATATAGAAAATATAGAAATGATTTATTTTTCATTTCATTTTAATTGTATAAAATAAATTGTGAAATTAACAATTTATTTACCATTTTTATAATTTTATGGAAGATTGATAATTAATTATGTTATTTAATTAGTATTATTTTTTCAATGTCCTTAATTTACCAGACCAAGTAACTAAATTGTATTTATAGTATATGAAATAATGTACAAATATTTTATGAATTTTAAGATATTTATTTAATACTTAACATATAAATATTTTGTTTTATTATCAATATTTCCTCCTACTTTGTGTATAGATTTTTTCTTGAACATTTTTTTGACTTGTGGTGGTGGCCGGTGGGGGTAGGGGGCCCCCAAAAAAATTGTGCACTTGGCCCAAATTGTATTAAATCAGGGCCTGAATATAGCAGGAATCACACCTTAAGTCGCTGTCCCGTTAATCATCTCATGATAACAGACACGATATAACGACCATTTTACAGAACATCGTGATAACTCATAACAATATAATATAATAGGATCTATTCAACTTTGCCACTTTGGAGACTACCGTTTAACGAGCACAATAGCGCATTTGTTCTTATTATTAACTATAATAATATGTCGTTTGTAGGTACGTCGTCGCACATTTCGAAAACAAGAACATAAAAGTAGGTGAGGTACCTATACATTTTGGTCCTCTTTCGTCGTCGTCGTACATACAACCACGGATGGCTGAATAATACATATTATTATATAATATTATGTGTGTCAAGTTTATGTTATTATAATATAGTTGTGTATACATCTCGCAAATTATTATATTATATTGTCACATGTGGGTGATTATGCGCGCGTTACCTCTCCGGTCAACATAATATTATTATTATCTCGGAGAACGTGGCCGTCGGGACGTGTTTCTTCACGGCTACCGGCATAGTCGCAATAATGTCGAATATTATATACCATTTATTATTAGGTAGACATAATACGAGTGTTGTATTTGTTTAGTCGTGAAAGATGGGTTTACTGTCTTCTGACGCTCTGATATTATATTATACAAAAAAATCTAAAAAAATAATTAAAAACTCGCAGCCATAATGTACACCACACGCCGAGCGTTGTTTAGATCTTTGATAAATAATAATATTATACGTTCAATAATAATTGTGTCCCAGTCGTCATGAAACACACACTCACTCGTTATTCCAATGAGAAAACACATTTTTTTTATTTCATGATAATATATTATTATATCTTATATTTTTATCATTATACTCATGTAAGACTGGCGCGGGCCCGTGACGAGGAGACAAAATAATGCGTAACGCGCGTCGTCCCACTACACTCCAAATCGTCGTGATTCCCTTTGTGTACCAATTCGTAATTCGTATGGGTACCTACACCTAACCTAGACACTTACGTCGAGTTTCCATCACAATAATATTCTTATTATCATACCGTTTTGGCATCGCACGTTTGACGTTTCGCGACCGACCGAATATTATAGTAAAGTTTTTGTTGATATATCGTACGAGACGAGCTATAGAAATCGTTGAAAACATATAATAATCATCTGTCAGAAGTCTAAGGAGGATGCATACTAACCCGTCACAGAAACAGGAACATACTAATTAGGCAAAGCGGTCTTTTTGTTGGTACCTATATATCTTATAAAATATACGAAAACTGTAACATATAGTTTCTGAAAATGCGTATTCATTTTGAAGCTCTACAGGAGTATTAAAATAAATAATTCTAGGCCGGATTTTCTTGTGGTAAAGCCAAGGTAATTTAAGACTTTTATCTCTTTTCCGCAGAGAAAACAGTTTTATCCCTGAAATTATAGGGAAATTTAACCGTCATCAAGCTTGACCATCCCACCTAAAAGATTATATTTGGTAAATAATAGACTTTACAAAAACGCATTTCGATTTGCTTTTGAGTGGTCCCAACCTATAACTAATTTATTATGGAGTGAATTTTAGTTTACGATTTTTGCTTGACATTTTTATTTGTATAGTCCCCAAAACACCCCCCTGGCAACGCTGTTTTAGCAAATAAGTACACTAGTAGTAGTAAGTAGGTAAGTACAAGGAGTATTATCACAAGTTATGGATCTGATATTTATTAAGTTGCCTAAAAACTTCAAAATAAATTTGTATTTAAATTACCTGCAATTTGGATACAACATATTAACCTAATTCGTTGTATTTCGTCCGAACCGGTCGGTACCAAGGAAATCGAGGAAGCGCATATATCCTACCTCTCGGTGTCATGTACTTATCATACGTCTTGTACCACGGTATAATGACGTTTTATAGATGTAAATAGTAACAGCCGCGCGGCACATTAATCGAGGGCCGTTAAATGTCGTCGAAGATAAAATAATATTAAAACAAAATAAAACAAAACACGTTCACTTGTCAAACGCCTCGCACCGGCACCGCCATCGCCGACGGGGTCGAGATTCGCACGCACGCAGAAAACCGCAAGCTTTCTAATGAGTTTTCTAAGGTCGTAAATATATATAAAAAATAAGCGAAACACCGATTGCCATTAATATATTACAGTCGGACTGTCCGAGACGAAACCTGAGAGCCCGTCGGGTCCGGAGACGTCAACGAACGTATACAACGTTACACAGATTGTACAGGGTGATAATAATTAATATTATTTGTCTTCCTTCGTCAAACGGCCACTAATAATATTACGTTTTTACGTAGGTACCATAACATAATGTTAATTAAATTTTTTCGGTTTTTTGGGATACTAATCGCATTGCATACGATTTTTTATGATTATATTCCCGACAATTTTGTAAGATTCCCGGTTGTATGACAATGACGACAAAAAATATCATCCTATATAATATAATACTATAGTGCGCATCAGTACGCAGAAGACCACAATAGTGCACTTCAACGACAATGATAAATAATATAATATTATTATAACGGCCACCACTGTATCACCTAATTGGATTTCGTCGTGTACACACGATATAGGTACCTATTACTGCATAATAATAATAATATATATGTGCCAGCAGTAAAACGAAACTCGAAGACAAAAAAAAAAAACCTAAATATCAAAACGTCAAAGACGAATTATATTACTCGCTCTGTAAAAAAAAATCGCACTTAACACGCGTGCGCGTGAGAATCTAAGCAGTGGGCATATTATATATAAGTGCAGTCCATATGTATATAATAATATATAATAACCATTACCTCGGGCGTGTCACGTGTGTATATAAGTGCGTACTATTACGTAACAGCGGCGGCAATAATATGTAGACATATATGTATACAGTTTTCCGTCTAGCGGCCGTCTGACAATGTCAATCATTCTCCCAAGGTTCCCGGCAACCATGCATCCGCAACTAACAGATTTATATGTATATACCTACGTCGAAGGGCTCTCAAACATTTTCGTCAGCATAAGTAGCTAAATACGTATTCGGAACCCCAAAAACTGGGAATATAATTTTAAGTAAGAAAAAAAAAAAAATCATTAATCGTGATCATGATGATGTACCTATATATCACCGCATTAGTTATTAGTTCGCATTACATAATATACAATGGGTATACGACAACAATTAATAATATTGAATTTGATTTAATTCAGATGTGTCCAAGCCCCGCGAACTCCTAGATCACTATACTACTTACTGGTGATACAAACTTCTAATTGAGAACTTGCCTTTTTTACTGAAAATTATTTAGAGGATGATTTTATTGAAAATTTTGATGTATCTAAGTCAAAATTCTAATGAGTAGTTTCTGAGTTTGGTTCAATGTTTATAGTAAGGATAATAATCTCTAAAAATGGTTTTATAAAAATATAAACAATATTAGATAATATTAGATTTAGTATTTAGATAAATAGTGATTACCAACTTTTTCAAATCGTCTAAGTCTCCACATCTACTTAACCCATTACCGTATAGAGATAATATTATCTTTAGAACATCCACACAGTTATATGTATATTGTATAACTCAAAAACTACTCACTCAGATTTTGATTTAGATACATCAAAATTCTCGAAAAAAACATCTGCTTGATAATTAAAAATGAAAATGGGGAGGGGTTCCTATATGAAAAAGGATGATTGTATTGTCCGCACAGGATCATCCTCAAGTGGTACAAAAAATATCAAGTATATTCGAAAACGAGGTCTTCACTCTTCATGTGTAGATAATGTAGGTTTTTGAAATTTCCAAAAGTCAGAATTTGCAGAAAATATGCATAATTTAAGAAAAGTTTTATGGCGAACAAGTTTAAAAAAAATCA